AAAGAGTTCAATCATGATAACACCAATACCGAGACCTTTGTCGGTCTTGCATTCCATTTCCATCTTGCCAGAGACGGCTCCTCCCGCCACGAAGAGCGGGTCTGCGAATTTGAGCGTGGTCCGCACCTTTGAATGGTGGGTCGTGGCATTCATAGGCTCGGGTTTGGATGCTGAGGACGCCATGTTGGGCCCGGTGTCACTATAGGCTTGGGCAGGGCAGTCTATCAGTGGGAAGGCAGCTTTGCATCAAATTCCGGTCGTGGTGTACTGGCAGCAATGTCAACGGGATTATCTTAAGACAATGTAAAGAACAAGGAGCAAAGCATGTAGAGCCGCTCAAACTTGGCAGAACAGATGAGATGGGGAAGCAAACATGGCTGCTCGGCCAAAAGCATGTGGTGTCGGGACTGCAGCGACTTGGCGCTTCTACAGAGGCTACTCGGGTGTGATGGCACTCTTTCGACAATGGCTCTGACATTGATGGGAATGGCACTGACATTGCTAAGCCAAAGAAAATCCCAATGTATCGTATAGAGCATTAAAAATCGTATCTCAATGCACTAGCTGTGTTTGCGAGTAGGGTTACTGCACCTCATATGCATGCGCGCTAAATAATCGATTGTTTCGGTCGCATTAATATTCAGACAATTTTTTCCGTGAGTAGGCTAAGATAGAATTCACGTCAACTCGGCGACCTCTAGCGCGCGCTTGGCTAACCCTCGCCGTCGGAACTGCACTACGCACAAACAGAAAATGAACTTTTAGCTTGAACGTTTTGTTTGTACAGATATAAGAGAGAGAATATTCAAGTTATTTTGTTAAAAAAGCGACTCTAGCAGGTGCAGTATCCAAGACACTGACTATTTTTCCTCTACCTCTCAAATGATGTTTTTGGCCTTTCTGTTCATTTTTGCCTTTGGACCCCGCGGTCCGGAAAGTCACGTGATAACGCTTATACTAGCGCTTTACGCCAAATTGGACAAGTATAAGTTCGGAAGGTAGTTCACCTTTCTAAGAGAGGTCCTCTGCGCGGTCCCACGAAATTCGCGCTTCCCACACTAGGTTAGGGTTTATTAGGCGCGCGTCTAAGGTCGCCGAGTATGTAGATGTTTCCACGATGAATACAACCTAATCATCAGACATTCATACCGCTCCTGACTGTATTCTGTACGGTATCGAGAACCTTGAGCAGGGAATTCCTGAAATTAAGAGAGGTCATACATCGAGCATGTCCCGCTTAGCGCCCATAATTGGGCTAATGACCGTGCGCAGCGGGAGCGCGCTTTCAAGCTTCCGCCTTTGAAAATTTGACGGCCCATATAACAGCTGTGCCAGAGCTCAATCAATAGCCGCCACGTGCGGCCCACAATCATGAAGCGGTGTGAAGTCGAGACGCTATAAATGAAGGCATAAAGACACCGCAAGCATAGTGTACACCGAAAAAGTGCGTTACAAAGCTGACGAAGGTCTATGTCATCTTTTGGACAACGTAACGATCCCAGCTCGGGTATGAAAAGGTCTCCAACCGTGTTGGGACCGACGCCGAAGGAGGTGCTCGACGTTTAACCTTCTCCTTTGAGCCAATGAAAGGAGGAGGCAGCTCGACGGGGACGTCAATCGCTAATGGCAGCATTGATATCTTGAATGTGAAATCATCTCGATAAGTTCGAGTGAAAGGTAGAGCTTCTTCAAGGCTAGTCTGAGGAGGCGGTGACCTGCTTTGTTTAGACCGCCTGGGGGAAGATCCTGCCGCGGAAGACGATGAGGGTTTGTGACTGATTCGTTGCTTCTGCTTGGGCGGAGCTAAAGTGGCCAATTCGGCGACTGCTTCTGCATTAGAAGGTTGTAGGCGTAATACAGCTCGGAGATCTACAGCTCTTTCAGCCATAGTCAGTACAACGTTGCAGAGGCCTCTCGTACCTTGAACGGCGTCATCTATTCGCCCCTGGCCTTTGCGAGCCTGGGATCTCCGCCAGTAGCCTTTAACACTCCCGTGTTTCGCCAAAGCAATGTCACAAGCTTGTTCCGCCTTTTCCCATCTGAGAAAGAGCTTAGAGCGATGACTTGTGGCGCGAAGGGAGATCGACATACTCATCAATCTTCAAGTATGCTGCAGCCAAGTTCAGCTGATAATGTGGCATTTCAGGCTCAATTTGATGCGCAAGTTGGTATCGCTCAATAGCCTTGAGATACTTTCCTTGTTTGAAGGCAGCATTGCCCTAGACATGTGCAAAGCGATTCGTGCGCATATTAGCGTCATACGGTCCATGCTACAAGCAGATACAATAACCTGCTGCTTTTCGAGCTCAGCTCTCAGATATCGCCATTCCATGAGCTCCCCAATAGTCATATCGGGATCTAGAGAGTGTTCTGCGTATTCTTCCGCCTCGAGACAAATCTGGTCCAAGGCAACCTCCCAGGCGTCCTCTTCCTCCTTGGTTTCCCAACCGAAGACTCCGCTACCTAAAGAGACTTTCAGCGTTCTTTTAATAGATCCAAGCCAACGCCGAACTCACCCCGACCATCCCATTCACGTTCCTTCCCTGACCGTACGCTGTTCTCCTTCTCCTTCATCGTCTTTTCGCAAACCTCACTGAGGTGTTCCGTTGAGCAGCCACAGTCGCACCACTTCGACGTCAGCTTATCACGAAGCGCGCCTCCATAGCCACGAACGTCGAACTCGTTCGCAACTTGCCAGAGAGTATTTGAGATACCCTCGTATCCGGCGCGTACTTTGGTCAGCCATTCGGAGTCCGCCTCGCTGCTACCGGCGGGAACATTCTTATATTTCGCCGCGCAGGCCTCTTCAAGCGCGCGGTAACCCTCCGCGAGCGGTCCAAGATGAGGCGGCTTAGAAAAGGTAGGCGGTGGCATCGTTTGAAGTGTTTCGAGGTGGGATTTCATGGCGGGATGATGTGGCAAGAGGCGGGCAGAATGCAATCCACGTTTCCGGCAGATGGGCACATCGTTAGAGGTAGCGAAATGGCGTAATGCAGTATAAGACCAAAGCACGCTCTTCGTAGCGACTCGCTCGCCCGCTTGTCGCAGGTCCATAGCAATGACAGCACGAAGGAAGTCTTTGACTTCGTCGCTGCCGGCATTGAAGGCAACCCAGCCCGGACCGCCAATATTTATGCAGCGCATTACAAAGGTAGGCAGATGAAGCAGGGCAACGCTGTAGAGATGTGTCGAGAAAAGGCGGGCAATGTCTTGTTCAAAGCGCAGGAGGAGAATTTGGGCTATTGTTCGTTCGAGCTCGGCGAGTGGGGTCGCTGGCTTGGATATCTGACGACCCGCATACACGTCGGGAAGTGTGCTGTCTTTCGAAATGACATGGGTACCGTTCGCTGGTTTACGCGGCGATGTGGTGGGACGCTTCTTTACATGCGAATACTTGGGTGGCATGGTGAGGGCGAAAGAACCAGGGAGATGGAGGTGTACGAGACAGCGTGAGGACACTGGTAAGGGTCAACGCTCAATTACAAGCAAGCGTTTGCATATGCGGCCGCTGCCGACAAAGAGCAGTGTGCTGTGAACCTGGTATCATTCAAGGCGCGGAGGAGAGCGGACGGAGCGCGCGAATATGTACGTTAGCAGTAAAGAAAATAAGTAATACAAATAAATAACTCGTGACGTCTTTCCGCATCCTGCTCAACCCGCCGGTATCTTCCACAAGCACGACCACCATGATTTCCTCTCGCGCCCTTGGTTTGACTCCTACTTTCAGGCAGGCAGTGGTAGCTCATAAATCTTGTATGTCTTTTCACTCCGGCCGGAGATAACTTTGTCCTAATCTTTCCGGTAGCTCATAGCCTTATCCTCCGCACAGCAGTCGCGAAACGGTGAAGCACACCGACTCCTTTGTACGAACACAGCTGGCTCACCTTCTCCTTACCGTTGCGTAGTGGTGTTCAAACCCAGTCTCTTCCCCCATCCGCCGCCGAGAAGATTCTCAATGAACAGCGCCTGAAGCGTCCCAGCAGCCCGCACTTTACCATCTACCAGCCCCAGCTCACATGGCTTGGTTCCATCGCAAACCGTGTCACCGGCGCGGGCCTCAGTGTCTGTGAGTTTACCGAGTGCTGTCCGACGATAAGTGCCCTTACTAATTCCGACAATGCGAAGTGATGTATGGGTACTGCATCGGCTACCTCGTCGCCCCCGAGACCTTTGCTTCCGCAAACGTGATTGAGCTCGCGGCGAGTATGCCTGAAGCTGTCAAGATTGCTGGCAAGACAATCTTGGCTGCACCCTTCGCATTCCACTCCTGGAACGGCATCCGGCATTTGGGCTGGGATATGACCAAGTGTGAGTCTTTCGTGCGTTTCGCTATACGCATGTGTATCCCTGATCACCGCACAGTCATCACCCTCAAGGGTGCGTATCAGTCTGGATATGCTGTCCTCGCCGCCACCGCTGTCAGTACGGTTGCGCTCGTGCTCATGTAAATTCCGGACAATGTCAAAAGCGACCGAGCTATCAACGAAAGGGAGCGCGTACCAGAGTATGTGCGTGGCCTCTGGCGAGATTAATGAAACGTCCTTCCGAAGGAAATTATGTTTATGACTTGTTTTTTTTTCGACAATTAGGGCCGCAGGAGCCTGCAGCCTGACTGGGCTACCATGCATTCAACGGCATGGCAAGGCGAGAACTGTTTGCCACTAAATTTGCTCGTGGTCCCAGTGCATTATATTGATTGAGCCGCATCGCGATACTGACTTCTCGTGGCGGTGATTCCAAGTGTAAGCCTAATCTACAGCGGTCAGACGGTGGACCCTAGCAGCGGCTTCACGGCTGCAGGTAAATAGCTAATGCTCAGGGCTTTGTCCGGACCTTAAACTCGGCAACTTACAAGATATGTGAGAGGAATGTCCCGAGTACACCTCGTCGTTCCCCATCATTGTTGGAGGGCTGGAGTCTCGATACACGAACTTGCACGTCTTATAACAGTATATGTAATGTTCTGGTATATTTCTCGCATAGCGACGAGATGTGATGCAGATATATCTGTGACAAGTTAGCCAACGTGTTTAAGAACGTATATATCCCTAAATCCACACTCTTCATCGTCCTAGTCATCGGCCGCTTCAACTGATGGCCGCCTCGACCTCGACCTCGACACCAACTTTCACTGGTTTGTCCATGTCGGATTTCACATGGCGCGCACGCTCGTTCAGGACACCCCACGTCTGCCACCACTCTGCACCGGCTTCGTCCGCGTCGTACGCGAAGAGCACGCGGGGTTCTTCAAGGGAGTACAAGACCAGGTCCGCGCCGTACCACTGCCCCGCCTTCATGTCGCGCAAAGCAGCATCACGAGCCTCCTGCTCAGGGCCACTCTTAAGCGTGAAGAACCGTGCCCGGCGGGCTTCGCGCTCCCGCACTGCGCGGCAGTGCGTTTGGCGGATATCCTGGAAGCCCCACAGAGTGTTGGCGATTTGATTCTCTTCCTTGAGGTACGAGAAGATCTTGCCCAAAACAGCCGCATCCTCCATGAGCATGCCAATCGTCTGCAGACCACCCTCCGGGAAGGGGTGAGCCGCGTCACCAACGACGACGACACGTCCGCTGGCTCCATGCACCCAATCGTCCATATCTTCGTGGGCGAAGTTGCGAACGCGGATCGCTGGTGGAACTAACGATGCGAGCTTAGCCAGCCTGAGACGTGGCATGATCAGGCAACATGCAAGACTAATACGAACATTTGAACTCGCCATGGTACTTGTTCGCTAATTAGGCCGGAAACATCAATGGTGGGCTGCTCGTTCCAGTCGCCATCCTCGCCATCGTCGGGCGCATATATGTGAATCGCGAGATCGCCTACGGGGTTCTGAGAGCGAGCTCGGGATTAATATTTCCAGGAATCGTGGCAGTATAAGATACATACAACCGGGTATGAGTACACACAAAAGCCGTCCGCATATCTGACGAAGACAGCGTTCTGAAGGCTGTGTCAAGAATGAGATGAGCGCAAGAACTGAATGACGCACGTCATCGGCGTTTCCTCCCATAATTTCGGGCACTTCCGGTATGTGTTCCGCCTTCAGGGTTGTGCTGAAGAATAAATGAGTGGGGCCGTAACGATATTGCTTGGATGGGGCTCACTGGAAGAGTGTATAACCATCCGGAGAGCGCTTCAGTTCGCGACCTGCAATCGCCTTTCGCACAATACCAGTAGAACCATCCGCTCCTACTATCACGCCCCCCGTCAGCGTCTCTCCACTGGCAAGGGTGATTTTTTGTGAAGCGGGGTCTACGGAGGAGACGAGGCAGCCAGTGCGAACTTCAGCACCAGCCTCCACGGCGGCATTGTAGAGGATACCACGAAGGTCCGTGTGCTATCGTTGGCTTCAGCGAAGGAAAGATACGAGGCATGGGACGTGACACACGCTGAGGAAGGTCCAGAAACCGCCACCACATTCCTTCAGCATCTCGTCGGTATACACATGCTGTCCCAGGAACTCGTTATCGCCACCTAGGATGTCGATGTTCGCCGTCAGCACACAGAGAAGCGTGAGTACTAGGACCACGAGGGAGACGCACACTTGTAAAATTTGACAGTGTTCAGAATAGGGCTGCTCCGCTTGTATATCTCGTCCAAGAGTCCCCACTGTTGAAGGACCTTCGTTGTATTGGGCGTGAGTCTGCAGCCACCATAAGGACCACCCTGAACATGCAATGGCCAGTTATATAGGTTGATCAAGGATGAAGATTCGCCGCACCAGAGGGATCCGCTTGTCTCGCTCTAAAACGATGACCTCGTACCCAGTGCGTCTGAGAGCTATAGCACACGCGAGACCGGAGAGTCCTATCGAGTTACACACGCTTAACACTACGAACGCGGACACTGCCAAACGGAAGTATCTTACCGCCACCGACAATAGTGAAGTTGATCGGAAAAGTGGTTCTCTTCATAGTGCTCGACTCGGGAAGAGGTATTAGGGGCAGGAATGAGAAGAAGGGTAGGAGAGTTGCTCACCTCGCTTGGAATAGACGTGACTAGTGATTGAGAGGAGATCAAGAGGCTGGGGCGGGGCGTGGTTGAGGGTATCAGGAGCAGCCTCGCACGCCAGGGGAGGTACACTGGAGGGCTGTTGAACGTTAAATCAGATACCCGCAATATCTCGCGCGCGCCTACGCGCCCGATGGTTGGTAGCATCGTGTTTGCAACTTCGCAAGATCATCTCTCTCGCCCGAATCCAGACGGGCTCATGTCCACTCAGATCCAAAATTACGTGTTCTGAGGAGTAAACCAGAGCACATGGCAAAACGCTGCGGCAACCATCTACAGTCGAACAACCATCGCATTTCGCCTGATGCGCACTCGTCCAAGCGAAGTCTGTGATCAGTGATGCGCCCGCCGCGCCGCGATATTCCCGCGACCAGTCTCCACCTGAAGGCCTGAACAGCGGGAACAGCAAGTCAATCAAAGGCATAGACGGGCACATCAAGATCACATCAAGATACAGTCTCCTTTCTTCGATTTGCGCTGCTTCTTCAGAGCCTCCTGTGCTTCTCGCTTCATGGTCTCAAGCCGATCCTGTTGCTCGCGTCCAGCGAGCTGCCGCTGCCTCTGAGTCTCCATCTGATGCGCCTCCTCGTCTTCCTGCCTCTGTAGCTGTCGAGCTAACTCGTGGCTAGCATCGATGAAATCCCATCAGTGATCAGACATCATCCGGTGCCGGACGATGCAACACTCACTCCGCCCGCTCTTCCAGTGTCATGGCCCCCAGATCACCCTCCAGGGCGGCCAGCGCACTCTCTCCCGTGTGGCCAGCATAATCACCACCAGCCGGTGTAGAATGGACAAAATCGGAGTCGACAAAGGATGACCAGCCGCCATCGACATCCTCCAGCCTCTCCCAGACCACAGATGGTTCTTGAAGGAAGACTTGATCGGTAGCGAGGGTATATAAAGCACTGTCGTCGGGATTCGGAGACTTGTATAGCACAGAGAGGTGAGAGTTCCGAAAGAGGGCCACCAAGGATCCGGGCCGCATCTTGGCTGCAAGGGCGAATAGACCGTGGTAGGTCAGCTGTGACGACGTATTCTCGAGGAAGGAGCGGACAATTAGTGCTGCAGGCTCGGGGTTAGCCACCAGGTGCAATTGGATTCAATCTTTCTTACCCTCTTCCAGCTTCTGCTGTTCGTCGGGAGATAGGGACGAATTCCGTTGGTGACTAGGTATTGCGCCCGACGTCAACGGTTCTTGACCATTTTGCAGAAACTGTCCACGAGAGATATGATCGGCTTCCGCTATCAGGTTCACACAGGTGTCGTAGTCTTGTAGTTGCTCAAGAACGTGGTGCTCCGGCGTACTAGGGTCCGCAAGCCACCCATGGACCAGCTCAATGCCAGCGTACTCAAAAAGCTTCAGCTCTCCACCGGATCCTGCAGGACGAAAAGCGGAGACCTCGGTGAACAATGGGTTCAGGTCCATGCCCTCTGAACGAGACACTTAATCTAAGCTCATGCAAAGCGAGTTGAGACTTACTACGGGTCACAGGCATGACCGACAGTGCTGCCGAGATGTCGACGTCAGGACAAGATGTCAATAGGTATTCACCGACCAGTTGTGCGAGTTGCTCGTAGGACACGCTTGCCCGGTCTGAGGGCAGGATGGTAATGCAGCCGCGTAGTATTAGAATATTACCTGTAGTATTACAGATGTCAGAAGCAATTCTGTCGCAGGACGGAGCTCTTACATATTGCAATAAAGGAACAAGGCCTGTAAGCCATGACAGAACCGATTTAACCACCGTTCTCAGCCGAGGGAATAGCTGTTCCTCACCCGTTGAAGTTCTGTGTAACTATCTTGAATCTTCTTGGGGGCGCGTCGGGGTCAGGCTTGAAGTGTATCTCTTTGAGGTACCAGACCTCCTCAATGGACTGCTGGGTCCCGTTTGTCTCGGAGTTAGTGTGCTCGGACATGGTGGTTGCGGGGTAACATGGCGCCCCGCCTACCCCGTGTCGCAATGATAAGCGGAAGTAAGCGAAGTAAGTGAAGTGGTAAGCTTCCATGCTTATACGCGTCACCTGATCCACAATTACGGGAATGACGACACGCGTCGACGTCGTTTTGCGCTTTACTCTCACTCTTCGGCCGATTCTCCATACGATCTCAAGCTTCAAGCAGCGGCTCACTCGATCTCGTTCGGTCTGGCCCATAAATTCTCTCTTTGACAAATGCAATGAAAGACTACGATATTCCGAAGGTCGACAGGAACAATCCTCTGTACTGCCCCTCCGTACCTGCAGTGGTATTTCTGGAGTCTATTCGGCGGAAGATACACGACAAAGGCGGCATTAGCAGGGAAAGCACTCCAGAATTTTCTCCAGATCATGAAAATCGTCACTCATTGTCTTCTTTTACTCGGCTACTCGACAAATCGGTTACTGACGACGACCTGCTTGAACTTCTGTATAACCCCGGCCACTCTGAGACTCTTCTGGGCAACGGCGACAACTCTGGCGATACAAATTTGAGCAGCGTTCTGCAAGGCGTGACATCTCGTGGCTTGACTGTTCCTGTCTCTCCCCAAGTTTATGCATGCGACTGCCTCATCAAGGAAGAGGAAAGCTCGATTTCGTTCAGCGATCTCCGAGGCCCTGCCAAACGTGAAATGTCTCTACCATCAGGCAACGAAGGATCATTCGAGATCAGTGGAAAAGCGGATCCGATCGTCTATTTTGCGCGGAGCAGCTCGCCATACAACGTACATAGGCGATGCTTTCTGGTTGCGCCTGAGCCCGAAAATGGCTGGAGAGCCAGGGCTCACGAACTACAGGAGAAATTATCGAGGCTTGGAGGTGCAGTGTGTCTCGACGGCGCATTTCATAGTGTTAACACCGCATGTATGCTAGGTGTGTCTCCGGTTATACTCCGGAAATGTTATTCTTCTAAATATCGAGAACAGACGAGTTGTACGGTGCCGCCGTTGGGACAGAGACACCTCGCGGGATGAGGAACTTGATATCGCGCTTGGACAAACTACTCCCTGGCGTTCGTCTCACAACCAAGCTCTCTAAGGTGGTGAGCCATCAAGACATAATAGATATTCTCTGCTCGAACGGTCAGTCGCTAGTCGGAAACTCATGAAATGTCGCTAATAGAGCTCAAGGCTTTGTTAATACCCGTGTCCTTGATGCCTTCCGTACATCCGAGGTTGAGTTTCTCGATTTAACTACCTCTCTGGCAGAGGAAGATGGGCTGAACATGGACGCTCGAGATATCTTGAAAGGTAAGTGGTCGCTACTGAGATAAAGGTTGTACTGATTAGATCTAGTCTTGGCTAAGCCTAATAGCTTCCTCTTTGTGCATGAAATCAACCTTAGTGGAACAACGCTCCGTGACTCGGACATTGCATGCTTACACCACCTTCCTCGTTTGGCCCGACTCTGGCTACAAGATACCGGAGTAACGAATCAAGCGTGTGTGGTATTTGCATTCCACTTATTTGCTCTGGTAACGTTTAGTTTATCCAGAGTCTTTCTACTACTACCCTTGAAGCGCTGCCTTCAAGAATTGGACATTGCATATAATCCGGATATCAATGATGATGTCATTGTCGCCTTCGACATGCTTTCCAGGCTCTCGTACCTTAAGTTACTGGGCACAAGTATCACCATCGCCGGCGTGCGTCGTTTGACCACATATCTCAGGCGACGCGGATATGCTATGGCTCTCGAAGTCCCTGCATCTTGTGAAGACTACCTACGGCGTGCGTCAGCTCTCTTGGTCAGATTGACCGCTGTCCGGACTTATACGTCACAGAACTTCACCTCAAGTACATTTCTCATCCCGGACCACCACTCATCACGGACCCCAAAGCCGCTCAGAATTTAACCCCTACTGCGCTCTCTCGTAACCTGGCTGCCCACGCTGCTGTCAACCCGGATATACCCACGAAAGGGTCCAAAGCGTTCCTCGCAAACCAATTAGGGGAACTCCTGGAGAATCGACGGGCCGACCTGTATGCACGAGAACTCATAGGTCTGGACTGAGACCGCTGTGTGGCTTGCATGGTTGATTTGGTTCCGGCTAAGCTATTATTTCGCTCCCCTATCGTATTTGGTCATGGTACCCTAGTTTGACTGGACCATACGCTTCCAGTTGCACCCTTCGATAATTGTATCCAATTAAAAGCGTAGTCCGCATAACAACTGAGCAGTCGAAACAGATGTTATCTGAGAATATTAAACGAACGGAAAAGTTAACGAACGTGGAGGGGTCAACGAATGTGGAAGGTCCTTCAGTCCTTGTGTGACCAACTGGACGTTGTGGATGGGCGTTGAGCTGAACGTACCTCAGTGGAAGGTAGGTCGGGCACCCCGCACTCTCGTTCTGCCATCCTGCAAGCGTTCAGTAATGATGGGGCTTGCGGCCGGTCTAAACTTGTGCTCCTTCGAATACCTACATGATAGGGCTATACCTGTGAGTCTACTCAAACAAAGCTGGGCTAGGAAAACAGACCTGGTAGCATATATGACTTCTGGCTGCTTCCGCATCTGCTTGCGCATTGTAACGCCGAGCCAGAAGAGGAACACTACGAGCAAGATCAAAGCGGCGCGTTTCCAAGGCGAGGGTGCTGGCGGGTTGAAGCGTGGGTCCTGCGAAAGGCGGCGATGGAGCTCCGCGACGTCGCTGGTGGGCTCGGGATGACGCTGAGATGTTGAGCGACGCTCAGCCTTCTCAGACTTGACGTTGGTAGACATAGCAGTGGTGGACGACATTGTGGTTGCAGACCAATCGGGCAGGCTGCCTGCGATCGCGGGCTACTCGGAGCGGTGTCCGGGGTGCGCCTGATGGCGACCGACGTCTGCATAACACCGGAGGGAGAGTGGACATTGGACAACAGGCATCCTTTCCTCGAACTTTGACCTGCGAGTGTCGCATATAGCAGATGGCACGATCGCATCGTAGCATGGCATGCGATACTCTCTACTCAAGTCCGTTCTATGCCCGAGCTAGGGCTTTGCATACTGCTGCTTCACATCCGCGCGGGGCAAATTGACTTCATGCGCGATGCCCCCATAGGGACCTTGACTTTGCCCCAAGGTCTCAGTACTTCTCTGGCTGGGTCGCTTCTTCCATTGTCACCCCTCAAACCCGCTGTCTCCACGACACGTCTGGAGGTTTCTTCCAGCAGCAGACATGACGTCCCTACACTCGAAAATCGCAGCTGCGCTCAAGTCGCGTGAAAATCGACTCATCAGACGACGTCTTTCGGACCCTGACGCGGACTCAGGGCTTGTTGACTTCCACACAAACGACTACCTCTCCCTCTCACACTCTGAGCAACTGCGCCACCTTTTCCTCCAAAAACTGCAGACCGCTCCGGAGGTTTTGGGCTCGGGAGGCAGTAGGTTGCTCGTAAACGGACACGGGCACACCGCGCTTGAGACGCGCCTCGCGAAGTTCTTTGACTCGCCCGCTGCTCTGCTCTTCAACTCCGGCCTGGATGCGAACGTGGGCTTCTTCTCTTGCATTCCTCAGCCAGGCGATGTCGTCGTTTTCGATGAGTACATTCACGCCTCCGTGCACGATGGCGTACGTGCATCACGCGCGAGGGAGGCCCAATTCTCCTTCGAGCACAATTCCGTATCTGCGCTGGGCGAGCTCCTCCTCCATCTGCTCAATGAGCGGCCAAGCCTGCGGACGGGTGAAAACAGCGTGTTTGTCGCCGTTGAGAGCCTTTACTCGATGGACGGCACGATCGCTCCCCTGGCAGAGATCGTCGAGCTCACCGAGTCGCTGTTCTCGCGAGGGAATTGTCATCTGGTCGTGGATGAAGCTCATGCAACAGGCGTGTATGGTCCGCAGGGCAGGGGGATGGTCGCGACGCTTGGACTAGAGCGGAGGGTGTTGGCAAGGCTTCACACATTTGGCAAGGCTCTTGCAGCATCTGGGGGTACGCCAGCGAGATTTATTGGGTTGCCAAACGACTGAGCTTTCCTCCCACCACAGCTGTCATCCTCACAGACGAGCCCATTCGCGACTACCTGCTTAATTATGCCCGATCACTCATATATACAACATCGCTCAGTCATGCGAATATTGTTGCTGTAGGTTGTTCTTTCGATTTCCTCGAAAACGGGATCGCAGAGAAGGTACGCGCCGCATGCATCCGTATTGTGCTACGGTTGACGAAGCTCCTCCAGTTGGCGACTAGATTGCTCGATTTAAGCATACGTTTCATCGATACGCTTCAAAATCTTATTGAGCGAAATGGCATACCGCCTTCCCTGCTATCTCTCCCTCCCCACCTGACTGCCATCTCCTTGGGAAGGAGCCGAGCAACTCCCATTGTTCCGGTCTTTACATCACAACCTCGGCCTCTTTCTACGTACCTGCGCTTGAAAAGCATGAACGCTCGGCCAATCACATGGCCAACGGTACCCAAAGGCTTGGATCGCGTTCGAGTCTGCTTGCATTCGGGCAACAGCGACGAAGAGATCGACGCGCTGGCACGAGGGATGACAGAATGGGCAAGAAGTGAAATGATCGCGAGCCAAGTTAAAGGAGGTGGCTCGCTTGGGCTACAGTCGAAGCTATGACACAGGACCAGGCAATCCCTCCGGGAATATCTCCCGTGATAGTCTATACTTAGTCCTGGAGTGCTTCCAACTCTTGCGTACTCTTTTGTAGAAACTCTTCGAACGAGTCTTGATACGCCGCTGTTCGTCACGGTGCAGAATGAGCTTTTCTGTGTGTTTGGAGTGGAAGTAAAGCACACTGACCCGCCGTGAAGCGGTTCGCTCGATATCGAGCGATGACTTCTCGGTTATGTGTAATAGCTGCTAGCTGTGCCTGCTTGATGGTGCCTTCGGGAATGGTGAGGCCCGAGAACAATTGACGAAGTAATCCAAAGACGTACCAGATACGTGAACCACATGGGGGATGTATTTGCGGCCTTCGATATTCGTGAGCATGGTCACGCCGGCCCAAGCAGTTTTGTGGTGATCTCGGGCAACGCGAATGATGCATACACTCGTCGTTGGAGAATAATACTTGACTATAGGGCGAAAGCATGTCAGAGAACGGCACGATAGGCCTGGACGAGGGGTACGACTTGCTTGTGAGAGAAGAAGAGACTGCGCCCCAGCCCGTGTCGCCAAAATTATTGATCACACTCTGCTTGAGAGCAGACCATATCAGCTTGCTGCTGATATCATTTTCTTCTGGCGAGGAGGCCGCCAAGGCGCTCGTGGCCGCTGAATGGCACGGGATGAATTCCACGAGAAGCCACCTGTTCTGAAAATAAGCAGTGCTGAGATTTGGGACCAAGGTAGTGGTAGAGTATGTTATAAACTTACTTTGAAGCGTACCATTCACCAAGCCTTGCCAAACGCGCGACTGAGGGTACTGAGAGATGGTGGTAATGAGGAAGCCGGCAAGTGAGCAGCGCCACAAAGCCCGCCCAGGCGCTTCCGACGATGCCAATGTCATCTGTTTCCGCTGCACGCACCCTGAAAAGGTGAATCAAACATTCAACTCAGACGTGTCGAGCGATGATGGAGAGGCCTTTGATCAAGAATTCTAGGGTTCTCCGGTCTACGGGAGTCATAAATAAACGCCACGAAGGCATAGGCGCTTCGCAGAGTGTAACAGACAGGCCGCAGCATCAGCGAGTCCAGTGGAGATTGCACGATACAATTACATGCAAGAGTACAATTCCATGCTTTGTGGAAGGAGAGGAAAGCTATGTGTCTGTGGCAGCATCTTCCTCGCCAATAAAAGTGTCCACAGCATCCCGCCAGTCACCCGGTGAGTCTGAACCCTCCCCGACAGACTTCGGCTCCCTCTCAACCTGATTCACCTTGCTATCGAGAGGCGGCGATGTGTCCTCCATGATAAATGGCTCTGCGTCATGGGCTGATCGGAGAAAGTGCTGCGACGGCAATGCGAGGATGGGACTATCGATCGGCGATGCCGCCGGGGTGAAAGACAGGAAAGATCCCAGTGGCGGTGCGCTCCGCGTAGCTTTGGTCATCCCCGGGCCGTCGTGCGGCGAATCCGGCAACACGAGCTGGGGGAGCAGCAACGAGCTGTGCGAGTCATTCAAGTCGATGAAGGTCGCGTGAATGTCGTCCTCGAGCTCGTCCGGGAGCTCGTCCGAGTCTGAGTCACTGCTGACTTCGTGAATTTGGAGCGTCCAGGAAGGGCAGTGCAGATACTCACTCATCTAATGACAGATACGAGGAGGAGGCGTTGGCACTGGCACTCTGATGTCTCGACCCTCCGTGCTTAGAAGTTCCCGCCGACATTGGCCTCCTCCCTTCAATGGCTCCCTCATCTAAAGCGTGTTGTGACGCCCTTCGGGGACCTGATGGTCTTTGTTGCGGGTCGGCGCGTTTGTAGTTAAGTGACGTAGCTCGTGTGTGCCCGCGCCGCCCTGGGGCTGTGGCTGGGATAGGTGGTAACGGACGGACAAGCATAGTGGAAGCTGAATGGGAGCGTCGATGGACGGTATGGCGGGGCGCAATAGCTAGTAGGCCCGAGGACATGAAGCTTGAATAGTCCATCGAGAAGAGATGGGCAGGCACAAGAGCGGAGGCATACTTATAAAGCCCCTTGATGTACTCGCGGACGGGGAAGCGCTGCGTCAGAGGGCTGATGTGCCAGATGGATGGGATCAGGGTGAGTAGATTCGGCGCGTAGCAAAGGCGAGACGCATGGGAGCTTGGCATTTCGAAACAGAGCGCGCTGTGTCCTGGTTACCGGGAAAGATGCCGAGGTTGGTCGGGGTATCTCGGCGCGGAAGTAGTGAAACTTGCGCACTGGGTGCCTGGAGAATACGGCAAGAAAAATCTCGATAGCTCTGCGTGAAAGTAACCAGCCGGAACAATCGTGGGGTGAGATTGAATGCATTGCCTCAGCGTCTCGCAGCTTCGTAGCGTTGCAAAATTTCAACAAACCTTTTCCAGGCTGTTATTCTCAGCGTTCTTTCGTCTTACAGCATGCCTACCCTTAGTGATCGCCATCGACGAACATGCGCGCACTCTGCAGCCGGAATTCGGAGACGAAGGTCCTACAGGTTGCTTTCGAAGAGCAGGCAAAGTATAGTGATCGCCTCAATGCCCCGCCTACGGCGGAAATAGGCACAGCGCTTTGCTATGCAGTTTCTCCTCCCCAGATCTTCTTCATTCGAGTCGGATACCCCCTATCACCAGATGGAGTTATCCTATAGAATAATATTGAGCAATTCGGATACACTGCGGCGTAGGCGTCATTTATTCCTTCTCGGTCGTACCACTGCCATGTAGGAGGTCGAGCACTGGAAGTATGACGGAAGTCGCCTGCAGCGTTGATATAGCTTCAGCAGCTAGGGAGGGAGCACGGATTACGAGGTCATAATCTTCTTCCTCAAATGATATAAACGTACCTCAAGCGCGCCAACATTGGAAGGGAGCAGGCATATGCTGAACAAGAATGATAAGAGCGAGGCTACATGCAAAATACGTCATCTATGCGGTGCCTACTTTCGCACAAGGTAAGCATATTTGACCGCGGCTATACTCATGAATTCTTCGCGGCGTTGATTTGGTTCTTTGCTTGTGTTAAGACCCCCTGCTGTTGCTCTGCAAGTACTCGACGCTTGTTAAAGTATTCAATCTGCAACAACAGTCAGACAATATGATGACAACCGCTGAGAAAGAGACGCACCCAGCTTCTGGCACAGTCTCTTTCATATTCTGCTTTGGATGTATCGCAAGCTTTCCCTTCGTCTCCAGGTTTGATCACATTTGCAGCGTCTAGACAGGTAAAGTAAACGTCTCTACTGTCCCAGCAACGTTGCCTGTCTTGACGCGATGCAGCATCCGGCGCCGATTTTTCTGAGCTCCCGAACCAGCCCATATCGTTTGGAGGACTCGCGCAAAGTGCTGTTCGAATGCAAGATGGAGTCCGGAGTTCGGCGTCATTTCGGCACGGCGGGCAAACAAGGCCACACAAACGCTGTACCACTGGAAACCGAGTCCTGCGTTCTCGTTGCAGCCAGTTACCGCGTGCAATTCAACGAGACCTGAAGGTTGTCCCCGACGAACATCTAGACCGGTAAATGGTACAGTCCGACAACGGATGTTATTCTTGAATATCTGCTGGAACCTTAGATCGTCCCAGGACCACTCCTCCAGGTCACAAGCGTCGCTGCATGCATGGCATCAATGTCTGGTCCTCTGACATCCCCATCTACACACTCGCATCCTCTCCTTACCGACCATGGCTCGACAAGACGCTCAAGACAGTCTGCTAGTACTCCCGAAACTCACACACGATCTTCGAGCAACTACTTCACGCTTAAGGCACAACTAGACAAGTCTGCTGAAGAGTCGGTAAGAGGTACACATGCAAACTGGGACGGTAGCGTTCGGGGTTATGGCGACAAGAACCGGAGGAAGTCCATGTGCGTGAACAATGCCGTTCATGCCCCTTGCAATACTCAACTCGTCTCCCTGCTAGGTTTGACGCGGATACGCCAGTCATACTAGTCGAATCCGCAACAGACGACTCGATCGTAAATAACGTCTCGTCTTTGCCTTCAAATGCCACGAACAAACTATTGAGTACAAGATGGCATGACTATCCCAATGAGGCCATTGACTCTGCGCTGTCTGCGCTCAATACATTGGACGCTAGTTTCTCCGACCATCCGTTACACGATGCTATCCGGGCGTTATCCGCTGCTGTGCATAAACTATCTTCAGTGCGAGCCGAGTTAGAAGAAAGTCGGAAAGCCTTGCTCCAGAAAGAAGCAGACCGACGAGCACGAGCGGACGAGCTCATGAGAGAGCTCCAGCCTTCAGATCGTGTCTTAGCGCGACGAGTCATCCAATCTCTCTTTCCAGACGATGACGAAGACAGTCATGCCGTACGTCGAAAGTCAAGCAACAGAGTGAGATTCTATCACGGTTATAGCTATATTGTTTCTCACATGATGCTGCAGTCTCTCACCGAATCTTTATCGGACGCACTCGAGGATATATTGCCTGTCTCAAGAAGTGCATCCGAAGGACCGTTGATGTCAGCTGAAGAAACACCAGTCCTCGACGAGAGAAGCCGAAGTTCTACCCCCGTCTCTCACGGAGCAGGTCGCGAGGAGTCAACTTCAAGGGTCATCACTTCTGAGTCCACCTCGCCCGTTGATTCGCCCGAGGCCAAAGAAGAGGTCCCACCGGTCTCTCCTAACTCGGGCCGTGCGAGCGTCGGCGAATGGATGGGAACACTGTGGGGCAAGAGGGCTAAGGGTCACTCCACGGCCTCCACTTCGTCTTTGCCTTCCGTCGAGAGCATCCTAGACGCTTCCAAGACTGCTACCGACTATGAGTCGGTACGCTCATCTGATTCCGAGTCGATTGCTTCGGCTTCGACCAATCCGGAGAGAAAGCGACGAGTCCGTGGTACGACCAAGAGTGTCTTTGCTACATTGGGGCTCTCGATGCTCAATCCGACCATACCCTCTTCTACCCGGAAACGGCGCACTGATTCTCGAGCAGTCTCTCAAGAAGCGGTCCGTGTTGTTATTGCCAGCGGCGAACTGCCCTCCGAAGGTCACTTGGCGGCGGAACCAGTATCCTCCGAGTCTCCCGTCGTCGCTGGTAATGCACGGTCTACTTCTGCGGAGTCGCCTGCAGAACCGGAATGGACCCCGAAACAAGGCTCGGCGATTCGAGCGATCGTCAATGCTACTCGTGTCATGACAAGCGACCCTGCAAGTATTCTCGCAGACCAAGGAAGAGATACTGGCCTTCTGGTTGGAAAGCTCGCTCTCGAGTTAGTTCGCAATGCCCGTGACCAGCGACTGGACATCTGTGAACCCGCTAAGCCTAAGAACCAGCGCACGACGAGCCGCAGAAATACTACCTTGTCCCTGTTGAAACCAGAGTCAGAGGACGTTCCCGATCTTCTGTTGACCGACCAGCGTTCTCCTGCGACTGTCAAAGCTAGAGATTTGGACACTCGATCATTTCTGGGCTCCGTCGACTTCTCTGCTCTGGCCTCGCCGGTCTTCGGTTCATTCCTCTCTGACCAGCGCAGACATACTACGGCTGCTAATGAGACTCGGAAAGCCACTGATAGCGATACTCCTATACCTGCACAGACTGCGGCAAAACCAAAGCCAGGTTCGGTCGCTCTTGAGTCCATCATCCCTGCCAACGCACAACCTCCTACACATCATTTTGCCCGCACTTACACGCCTCTTACTGCTAAGGACTTCCGTTTCACCCTGCCGATGTCTGATGTACCGTCGATTTCTTCGCTTGGCGATGAACCCAAAGAGGCATTCACGGACCGTTTCGGCTTCATCTACGACGTGTCTCTCTACGACTTCCTTCTCCTCCTGCGCGCCAAAGCTGTTGAGAACGTTGCACCAGCATGTCTCACGGGCATCAAGATAGCAGACCGTCGCGAAGATAATGTATGGCCCGAAGAAGACGAAGAGGAAGATTCTTCACGAAACGCGATAGAGATCATCACAAGCTATTGCGAGTGCGAGAGCATCGACTCAGTCGATGGTATCAGTGTTCACTCGACCGGGACAAGGCTGTCGTTTCGCGATATACCCTCGTCCGACACTACCTCGCTTCGCTCTCGAGATACCTCACCATCATCAGGCCGTGGGCGACCGCGTTCGACCACACTTCGCCCGAGCGCACCCAAGTTGCAATCAAAGTCCAGTGTCTCGATCCTCACTATCACCTCCGACACGCCGCGACACGTTTGTCCTACGACCGTCAAGCGGCTCTTGTCTGACCTTGAGGTGATCCATAATTGTCGGCAAGTGTCCCTACGCAAGGAGTGGGACACGTTTGTCAACCAGCGCTCGAAGTCTTCAAAATCTGTCTCTGGGGCCGCGCACAGGCCGTCAGGGAATGCGGCAAACGCTGCTTCTATCCTTGGTCTCAGGGCCTCTCTCGACGAAGAGGAGCTGATGCATACTGATGGGCTGATCGGCTTTGCACAGCTGGGTTTCTCTGCGAACAGCAACGAGCGGAAAGAATTCGATAGGCTTGTCCGAGCTGGGATCCCGCTGGCGTATCGGTCAAAAGTCTGGTTTGAGAGTAGTGGAGCCCTTGACATGAGGGAGCCCGGGCTGTTTCACGATCTCCTTGCGAACGTGGATGAAACAAGCAGTGTGGTCAAGGAGATCGAGAAGGACGTAGGACGGACGATGCCCTTGAATGTCTTTTTTGGCCGCACAGGCGCAGGGGTCGACAAGCTGCGCAGAGTGCTGAGAGCATACAGCCAGTAGGTCTATTCCCACCTGCGACTTCTCCTCACGAGCTAACCGGTTTGTCCAGGCGCAACCCCGATATTGGTTACTGTCAGGGAATGAACCTTGTCACGTCGACACTTCTGCTAGTGTATGCAGACGAGGAAGAGGCGTTCTGGGTGCTGTGCGCCATTATCGAGAAACTGCTGCCGGAAGACTTCTTCTCCCACTCGTTGCTAAGCTCACGCGCGTGTCCCCTGGTCCTGCTTGAATATGTCAAAGAGCAGCTTCCAAAGTTTCACAACCATCTCAACAAGCTTGGTGTTGACATCGGCGCAGTGTGTTTCTCCTGGTTCCTTTCCCTTTTTACGGATTGTCTACCCATCGAGGTAAGTTCCGCCGCCACCAGGCCAACCATATGACTCACGCTCATGGCCGTAGACACTGTTTCGAGTATGGGACGCCTTCATGGTTGACGGATTAGACGTTCTCTTCCGTGTGGCGCTCGCAGTGCTGCGCAGAAACGAGCAAGAGCTACTCCGATGTGAATCAATCCCTGCCGTCTACGTCGCGTTAGAGAGCTTGCCTAACCGCATGTGGCGGCCCGACAAGTTGATGAAGGTGCGTCTTGCCCTGTCACGTTTCTGACGACGGCTGATTTAGCATTTGTACAGACCGAAGTAGAGCTACGTCACACCCTGGTTCATACAGATATTGTCAAACGTCGTGCGGCCCACATCGCTATTCTGAAGAAATGTCTGTGAACCGTCCCTCTAGCATATGCTGCCTCTCTTAATGTGTCGCGTGTTCGAGCATCGCATCTAGAGCTGTCTCATATCCACTCATGTCATTACTTACATTGCACACACGCAACTATTCGATATCATGAGCTGATCGAGTGCCAACATGTGAAGGTTCAAATGGTACGCCAACAGCGGCCCTGCAGCCCTATCCTCGTTACTCGATGTGTTAATCAGGCAAATTTACCTATGGTACATGTGGCTGTTTTCCGTGACGATGACCTTAGTCGGTATGGCTCAGAGTGCCAGGATTGTGTGCAACATTGTGTCCATGCCGTTTTATGACGTCGATGTCGCAGTCCTACAGGGTGCGTCGGACGACTCACCTGATCTGAGAAGCTAACCTGGAGAGCTGTGTGAGAGACGGTTCACAAGCGTTGCATAAAACGTGGATCTGGACGTACCTTCGGTGGGTTCTTTACATTGATGTCCGAAATCTTGGCCGCTTCGTCTCCGTTTGTGACAATTTGCTCGACCTGCAGCGGAGGTAAGATGATCCCACCTGTGCCGGCTTGGTGGTGGAAGGTTCTCACCTCTCCCTCGCGTTTTCCACTGCGAAAACGGGTAAACACCTTGTCGCCCTCTTGGATGGGCTCGCCATCTTTGTCTTTGAGGTATCCCTGGCTCGCGAGGATAAATGCCCGTGCTTATGTCACTGGAGACACATGTGCATGTGCGTTCCACCTACCGACATTATGCTGATGAGTTAGCTGCTGATCGAGGTCAACGGAACGGCGCACCTCTTATATACTCTGCAACCTGCCAGGTCACTTTCTATGAGATCATGAATGTAACCAAACACACATGTGACGACAGCGGCACAGTTGTGGAGAACTTGGTCTCCACAAAATGACTCGTGAGGTTTGGTGGCACACCATGTGATGTAAGTCTTAGTACCACTCACAACTCACAACTCGAATCAACCAGATGTCGTTAAACTTGAAGATATACATGGAAATTCAACCATCAAGGAATGTAATACATCTATCAGATAAAAGCATACGATGCGCATTTCACTGGAGCATTTCCTTCAACTCGCCATTCTCGACCATCTCCTGCACGACATCGAGACCGCCGACGAACTCGCCATTGATGATGAGCTGAGGGAACGTGGGCCAATCATTGACAACCTTGAGCTGCTGACGCACGGCCTCGTCCGAGAGAATGTCGAAATGCGAGAAGTCGACTTTCTCGTCTTGGAGGAGCGAGACGATTCGGCGGGAGAAGCCGCACCGAGGTGCGTCCGGGCTGCCCTTCATGAAAAGGACGGCTCTGGACTGGTTCATCAGATCGTTGCAGCGCTTGCTGAGTTCCTCCGTCGAGTCCGCTTTCTCTGTGGGTGCTGCTGGGGCCTTGTCGGTGTATGATTGCGGATATATGGTCGACGGAGCGCGGACGTGCTTCGCAATAGCGTTTGTCAAGGTGGCGGCGTCTGCACCAGGTATGCGGTCAAGTAGAGTGTGACCCTGGGAGGATTTAGTGTCTTAACCACAAGTAGATGAACTGAGTAACTTGCCTGAAGGATGATGAACGACGGAACCGCTTCGATCTCGAAAGACTCAGAAATGTCCGCTTGTTCCTCAGCATCTACCTGCAAACAATACGAGGTTGAACAATCTCCAGTATCCGTTGTATGTGAACGCACCTGTAGCACCAAGAGTTGCGGATACTTCTTTGCCAGCTCTGCGACAACCTCATTCATCTGCTTGCATGGCTCTGCCCATGATGCCCAAAAGTTGATGAGTGAAATCCTGTTCAAGTCCGCCGCGAGAAGCGATCGGAAGTGGTCGGGCGAGGATACCTCAGAGAAGTTGGAAAGGCCTGCAGCAGACATGACGAGACTAGGCCTGAAGGGAGATGGTGAGTGCTTAAGATCAAGAGGACTACCCTGCTTTACAAGCAGCCCTCGGGCAGATGAGATAGCATTGCGCCATTTTGTTATCTGATAACAGAATAGGGCGTCTATCTTTAAATAGTTACCGACGCTTTACAGCCGGTAACGGTGGGAATAATGCCACTGGCAACCATCAGCCTTACCCTCCGCGATGTGCAGAGCGTGGACTCATACGTGGAGTGCTGTGGTCAAGTCATGGCAGATAAGTTTAACCGAAGGGCGACATACTTACTTGGATTTGTCTGCAAGGGTGACTACACAGTTCCGTCGCCCACTCTCACCGGGAGGCGCAGTTAACTCACGGGACGCAGTCTGGGTTGTACACGGTCTGGAAAGTACAGATTGCTTACACGGGTAGGGAGATATATGTATATACTATTGTCTGCCGTAAGACCGGCGTGCCAGTGGGTTCTTCGTGCCTTGCACTTGCATGGGAATGGTCGAAGACATTGCCCTGTTGAATGGGAGCGAGCGGCCATGCAGATGAACTATTCAAAGATCTCGCAGCGGTGGGCGACAATATAACTTTGTATGGTTTAGCCTTCAAGATGAGAGTGGTAAAAGGTTTGAAGCACGGCGGAAATGGTTCGAAGTCGCGGCAGAGTGCGGTCCCGCGACGAGCTCATGAGAGCCAGCCGTCGAATTCAATGTTTCGGAGATCGGTGTCGTCGTCATCCAGAGTGTTCATCTAACCATTCGCTCACCCGGTCAACGAGGTCCGCCTTCTTCCCGGCAGTTGATAGGCCCTTGCTCCTGAGATAGTCCTGTCATGTCGGGGAAAGCGCAAAGCGTATGTTAGTGTCGATTCTGATATTCTCTGCACAACTGTAGGAACCGCTTCAGGCCCGTATCAATAGCAGGGCTTGATGTTTCCACCGTCATGTTACGTGAGACGCACCTTGAGTTGGTCAACTTTGAGCTATGATGGAAAGACAAAGTTAGGCCAGTGTGTGAGCGGGGGACAGCTTGAGAAAAGCGTGCTTACCTTGTTCAGCTCACTATTTTGGTAGAACCCACGCACTTCTTCCTCACTCGTGCTTGCCTCCTGAGAGAACGTGTCAGGAACGATCGACGCACATGCTCGACACGACAAACAGTAGTGGTCTTGGCCTTGCGCTTGGCTCCTGTAGACGAAGCGACAACAATGGTCGCGGAATCATCTGCAAGAAGAGCCTCCTTCCACTGTTTCATCATGAGTCCGGCTCGCTATACGCGTCACAACCGAAGAATTCCCAACGAGCATATCACCGTGGAGATGACAATGAAGTGCCTTTAGCGATGAACATCAGATATTTCCCATGGAATGCGTACCTTGTGAATCATGTCATAGTTGGGCAAAGACAGATCCTCGAAGGTCTCAGGGTCAAACTCTTCACGGAATGCACTGGCTTGCAGCTGAGCATTATGGAACTCCAGAGCTGTGGGCAAGAGAACGAAGGCTGTCGGTACCGAAGCTCCATTTCTATGTCGGGTAGGATTTACCCACCTGGGTTGGGATAAGAATCTGGTGAATACCCGTCTTTGACGGCCAGCTTTGCGACGAACGGAGCAGCTTTCCCCGTCAGCTCATCGGAAGCTGGGCAGGATGCGGTGCGGATGATCGAGAATGGCAGATAGCATAATTAGCCACCGTAAACGAGCCGCCTTTCTGAGTAGTCGCTTACCTCGTTCAGCATCGAGGAACTGCTCAGGAACCGCTCGCATATCATCGGCGTATGGCAAGGGAATGAGATGGAATCCGGGCGGATCGCTCTGGGCACCATCCTCTGTGCGCACCTCAGCCTATCACAAAGTGAGAAAAGTCAAGACACGTAATAAGCAAACCTAAATAGGTTTTCGAGGGGAGAAATGCTGTACCTGAGGGAGCATGGCGCAAAAGACGGGAGTGGCGTTCCGTCTCATGAGTGTAAGCACTAGCGCAATCTTTTTCTTCTTGGCCATCGTTTTCAGCAGGGCGTTGGATGTCCGCTTACTCCCAGAGAAAGTCTGATGTAAACATAGCGAGTAGTGATTAGAATGGTGCTTCGCGCGGGGTGCGGGAATACTACCATCTCATCTGGATAGATGAAATACGAGTGTTTGATATTATCCTCGAAAGCCAGTGCATCGTAGTCTTTGAATCCAAGCAACTTGATCTCTGCATTCTCGTGTAGTCAGCGACGCTGAGATACTAGTCTGAGCACCTACTCGGTTCCAACCCGAGAGTTCGGAAGGACCTGATTTCATCAGCGGTGTAGAACGTCTGCAGGCCGATGTCCGTCAATCGCATATGTTTGACTGACTGAATTGTGGAGCACGCGCCTTGCTGCCCGCCGCGGTGGTCCTGGTCACGGTACCATCCTCGTCAATGCGGTCCTTTGTATTCTTGCCTTCGACAGCCTCGCCGAGACCCATGCCACTGAGGAGCTCGTCCTTCGGCACCTCTTTGCCCCCCTGGAGTCTAGGTCAGTGATTTCCATGGTCCGTACGCCGGACTACGTGGCACCTTTTGCAACCAGACGGTCCGGGACTCTGCCAACTCCATCCTATCGCCCAGATCAACAAAATACCTGTAGGACCCCTTCTTCTGTGCCGTGACCAGGCCGTACCTGGTGACCAGAAACGATGAGCGTCGCCCAAAGCGCGCGGAAGAATACGTACCCCTTCACGCCGATAACAAAGTTCTCGGCAAGTTCAAACGGAACGCTGAACAAGGCACGCTTTGGGACCTCGCGGAACTTCATCTGGTCCAGTAGGTCCTCGATCCTTGTGATGGAGACCGTCTCCGGGAGCACCCCCGGCTCGGCCTCATCGTCGTCAATGATATTTGTCGGCAAGAGAACAGACTGTACGGATGCGGATGTCATACTCCGACATTGCGCGAGTGTCGCGGAAACTTACTGAATAGAACTTTGACAAATCAAAGAGCTTGTCCTCTGAGCTGATAAAGAAAGGCTCGACCACGATGCCCGCTTGAACGAGGTCCTAGTGATCGGTCGGGTCAGTGCATAATTATAGAATGTGTGAATGGCTGACATACGACAAGAGTAGTACGGGCAGCGGTCAATAGACGGTCTCTGCCCGGTCCTGAGTGAGGGTTATCTTCGTCGGTGATGAGAAACACTCGTTTGGTCGCAGTTTTAGGTGCCCTGCCACGGTAGCATCAGGGGAATAGTTTCAGGGTTCATGGAAGTATGTCTTACCCATCTCGCATGATCCAGTTACAACTAGTAAACACGTCCCCCACTGCCATTCTGTTCCCTTGCACAGGTGGGAACGTCTCCTTCAGGTAACTGGTGTCTCCTCTGGCGGCTGGAGAGGGCTAATGTTTAACAGAGCCACATGACATATTTCCGCGGGATCCCGCACCATCTACCAGCTGGATAAGCTCCTGCACCTTTGGAGCACTGATGGTTTCAATGGGTTGGAACAAGAAGCTACCCGGCTTGATTTCGACCCCTTGACTAATTGGTTCACTGTTCCGTGTCTGTGGTAACGTCGTCGGCGAACATGTGGTAGCGGGAGAAGCAAAAAAGTGTTCCTGACCGTATTGAACAGCATGATACCAACGGCATCGTTCGGACCGACGACGACCTTTTTCTTCTGGATTTGAATAGCAGCTTCAAGAGCTGTCAGGAAACGAGAAGTCTGCACGTCTTCGTAGACCGGATCGTCGTGCAGTGCGAGCATGGATTCTGAGCAGTCAATTGCAAACAGAATAACATCTCTTTTTCCCTCGAACATCTGCGCAAGGTTAGATGACAACTCACGCGGTCCCTCGCGCGACTCACTGAGGCATCTTGGAGCTCCTCGTCATCGTCGTCGTCGACTTTGTTCCACTCGTCGTACGAAGCCATATATACTGCAGATCGCGCGTAGATGGAGACGAGGAAGGATGAACAGAAAGAAACGGAAATATTCTGGTGATGGTTGCACGCGTCGAAGTCAGATTCGGACGCGTTGAGCGGACAATGAAACGCGCTGATGGAAACCAAGCACGTGCACCTGCTCTTTTCGGCGACTCCGCACTGGCTTCCGGAAATGGATATGATGAACTTGGAAAGTTCTCTTGACGAAACTGCTGTGAACGTTGCACGGCGGCGACCTCGGGCCCTCGTTACCGTCGAGAAAATCTCGAGCCTGCGATATCAAGCGATCACAACGGACTAGAAGCTGCAGACAGTAGTAAGTCATTATTTCCACGCTGCCAAACCGCTATGCGACGTTCACACTTGTCAATCGAGCTGCGGCGTCCCTCGCTACCCATGGCATCGGAGCAAAGCAACCTATTGTCGCTTAGGCATGTTACCATTGGCGAGCTGGAAAAGCTGTCTCGTCCGAGGCAGAGAATCAGGACGGAGGAGGATGTCCAGGCATGGAAGCTCACCAGGGGTTACCAAGACTATGGTCTCTTCCTGCGACGCCTGAACGGATCCGTCGTCGGGCATTTCCTGCCCTGGTCTAGTCCGACAGCCTATCCAGTAAGCTTTCTGATTCCTATCTCCAATCAATATTTGCCTTTCATACATGGGAAAAGGCCATAGAGTCGACCCTGCGCTTGTTGAGCGCACTCGACCGCTGGATCGACGAGATCCCGCCTTTACATACCCCTCAGAGATTTGGGAACCTCGCTTTCCGCACTTGGGGGAGGCGGCTCGAAGATGTAAGCCCTCTTATCAGCCGATAGCTCGACGCCCAACACCACGTTGCACAGGAATGTAGTTCGCTCTTGGCTTCTCTCCTCCCGCTCGAATTCCACCCAGCAATTCCACATATCTCTCCGTACCTATTGGCTTCCTTTGGGTCGTTCACGCGGATCGACTACGGCACTGGCCACGAGACGTCCTTCGTTCTGTTCCTGTTCTGCCTCACCCTCATCCGGTTCTATGATCCAGAGCCGGCGGTGGAACGGGAGATCGTGCTAACCGTGTTTGTGCGGTACCTCCGGCTCTGCTGGAGACTGCAGGACGTCTACAAACTTGAGCCCGCGGGGAGCCATGGTGTTTGGGGTCTCGACGACTACAGTTTCCTCGGATACATCTTTGGCAGCGCTCAGCTGAGAGGTCAGTCGACAAATACGCTATCGCTTTCGGCTTAGAGTTCAAATGTGTATATGTGCGCTCATCTGTCGCTGTTACAGATCAGAGCGAGATACCTGTCTCCGCAGTGCTCCGCCCGCCCTTGCCTTCGACGAATCTGTACTTTCTATCAATCTCGAGAATCCACGAGGTCAAGTACGGCCCGTTTCACGAACATTCTTCCCAGCTGTATAGCATTGCGACGGCGGTGCAGCATTGGCACAAGGTTAACTCGGGCCTCTTCAAAATGTACGAGGTAAGCGGCCGCTAGTTGAATGGTTTAGCACCGTTCTCACGATGTGTTCAGGCCGAGGTGCTCGGCAAGCGGGTCGTCGTGCAGCATCTTCCCCTCGGCGGTTTGATAGAGTGGGATGCCCCTAAAGAGGCGATACCCGCAGAGCAGGGGTCTTCACAGGCAGAGGGGCGCCCCTCGACTCCTACGACGCCGACGCCGACGCCGACGCCGGCTTCGGGCGCACTGCCCACCGCAGCCGCCATGATTCCACCTACCGTCCGAGTCCCAGAGCGGCCTACGCCCCCGCCGTTTGACGTACGTTCAGTCGCACCTACCGTGGGTGGACAGACTTTTGCGCAGAATCACCCATCGGGACTCGCTGCGAACCCGCGGATTGCGGCCGCGCTTCGACAGGGCGGTCCTGTCGCCGGAAGCTCGATGCCCTTGGGTCCGATGGCCAACACTACGTTACGGCCCATGTCCCGCGGAGCTGCTGGCACTGGCACCACCATGCCTCCCCGTCCAAACCCGAGCCTCTCGTAATGCTCGACGGAAATGAAGTCGAGGAGGTCGTGGCTTTGAGAGTTGTACACAACGTGTATTCTATCGCGGTTCCGCGTACACAGCTGCTTCTGCCTCGTGTTTAATGATGCCGTGGAGATGGCAGTGGCCGCATGTCGAGCCAGCCAGCTGCGCTAGTACGTCGTCGACGCAGGCACCAGTGACCAAGCCGAGCCACGGACGCGAGGGCGGGTGGAGCCTGGACTCGGTTAGCTCCGCCACAGGCGCCCATGACATAAGTCACGCTCACGTGGCAGAGCCGCATCGATGGCCCAAAACCCAAAATTTAAAAAGATCTGCAGACGACGACGAGCTCGAGTCTTGTCTCGCGCTGCACACCCGGCCTCTTCTCATCTCCTGGTAGACCCCTCTGTTGTCGCGCCCTTCAGTCCGACAGCAGAGCCGACGCTGGCAACATTCCTGACCAGGCGAGGAACGACGACTTACGTCTGTTGACCCGAGAGTATGTCCCTTTGATTGGATGCTGATCCTCGTCCCTGCCGCTCACGATTGTCGCGATTCCCACCAGGTGGTCATCTGTTCGTGGTACGCGACACATCAAAGGTGTCTGTGCTCTCGTACTTACGTCACGACAGGCGAACCTCCTTGACAGGCCTTCAACAACCTTCGTTGTTTCACTAGCCACACTTTCAAGTTTTCTTCGGCTTCATCGCCCTCTCACATTCCTACTCCAACCCTTCCCCCCCCTCGCCCTTAAAGCTTTTCCTCGCTGCACAGGGAGCGAGGAAACCCCCTTCGCCTGAAGAAACCCCAACGTTACCCACCTATCCCGCCCGGTGCACCAGCCGCGGCGGTAGGCGCGGTAATACGGGTTTAGACCTAGGAACGCAACAGTCACGGGCCCCCAGCTCTTTGGATCGTGCCACACCCAAAACGACAACTTGCAGTCGACCCTTGAAACTCCCACTGTTGATTATCTAGAACTAGAAGTCGAGACGGAGCCCCTTAAGGAAAAGCCTCAAGAAGAAACAATGTCACAGGTCCAGGTTCTCGCGACGCGCAGCCCTGTCGGCTTTGACTCTGAACTGGCATCTTGCTCCCCCAACGTGTCTACTACCCTTTCTGTTTCCTTCAACGACAAACCAGCCAACACCCTCGTTGATCGCATCCTCTCCTCTCAAACTACGCCGCCTATTCTAGACACTGCGCCAATCCCTGATGCCCGGGAAGGGTGCACCGCTGTTCCGGGGTTGCCCCTTTTGTACTATGGACACCCCGATACCCACCTTCGGAATGGCGTTATGAGGGCTGCCGAACTGGCTGCTGATGGCGAACCCGACGCTGAGAAGGCTTTCTTCGTCGCGGACCTCAGTTACGTATACCACCAACATCTCAGATGGAAGCGCATGCTCCCGGAAATCGAGCCCTTCTACGGTAGGTGCCTGCGATTCTCAGGGAACGCGGCAGAGTCTCATGACCTTGGCCAGCTGTGAAATGCAACCCGGACCCATACGTCTTGCGCCTGCTGGCGGCGCTTGGGACTGGGTTCGACTGCGCTTCGAACGGAGAAATCTCCCAGGTGCTGTCTGTCGGCGTGGCCCCTTCCCGGGTGATCTTCGCCAACCCGTGCAAGGCGACGAGCTTTGTCCGCCAGGCCGCCAAGTCCGGGGTGGACACGATGACGTTCGACAACACGGACGAGCTGTACAAGATCGCGCGCGCGCACCCCAAGGCAGCGCTCGTCGTCCGCATCCTCACCGACGACTCCCGGTCGCTGTGCCGGCTGGGGCTCAAGTACGGCGCGCCGCTCGTCACGGTGCCGGGGCTGCTCGCCAAGGCGCGGGAGCTGCAGCTGGACGTGATCGGGGTCAGCTTCCACGTGGGGAGCGGGTGCTACGACACGTCGGCGTACACGGACGCGATCGCGCGTGCGCGCGCGGCGTTTGACATGGGCCGGGCGGCGGGCTACGAGTTTTCGCTGCTTGATGTCGGCGGAGGGTTCGAGGACGCGACGTTTGAGCGTGCCGCAGGCGTCCTCAGGGACGCCATCGACCTGCACTTCCCTGCACGGGAGAACCTCCGCATCATCGCGGAACCCGGCCGTTACTATGTCGCAAAGGCGTTCAGTCTGGCAGTGAATGTCATCGCTCGGCGCGCTCCGCCTCCTGCGGTGGAAGGAGCCGATGCGGAAGAAACAGATCCGGGAGAGCCCAGCGTGATGTGTACGTTTCGTTTCCTTTCTCGATGGGAGATGGCGATTGGGCTGACACGAGGAATCGGAACTGTGACAGACTACATCAACGACGGGGTGTACGGGGCGTTCAACTGTATCATGTTTGATCACCAGACGCCGCAGCCGGGGGTGCTCTGCCTGAACGGGTCGTTCCATGTGCCCTCGTCTGTGTCCATGTGCGCGAGCAGCGTGTGGGGCCCGACATGCGACTCGATCGACGTGGTGTGCCCTGTGACGCAGCTGCCGCGGACGCTGGAGGTCGGGGACTGGCTGGCGTTCGAGAACATGGGGGCGTACACGCGCTGTGCGGCGTCGCAGTTCAACGGGTTCCAGGTGAGCAACGTGGTGTACACGACTGGGACGGGACTGGCGAGCGGGGAGGTTCGGGGTCTGTTGCGGGGTCCTGGCGGGAGCTGAGACAGTGCTGGACGTGCGAGGGGACTGTGGTGCTGGTGAGACGATGTGGATCTACTGTAAAGGCTGCGGTACCGCATGGAGAACACGGTGCTTGAAACTGCTATCTGAAGTGGGAGGCGATGGTGCCTGGCGGGAGGACTGGTTTTCAAGACGCCGACGGCAGTTTCGGTACCGAATGCGGGGCCGAACGGGGGTGATCGAGGGGGTGTGGTGGGGTTAGGGGTTGGGGCCGGATGGGGGCATATTGTGGCGTCTTGGGAGCGAGTCTAAAACACGGATGGGAGAGCCGGATTGGGACAGGGCCTCGCGCGAGGTCGCGGATGTTCGCACGCGTCGTGACGTAGGGAGTCGAGGCGACCGGAGAAGGATCAGAACTTGATCGAGGGCCGAGCCGTCGAGGGACCTTGACCCCGGGCACGCTCCCGGACCCGGTCCGCGCCCTCCGTGGGCGTCCGTCGCGAGCCTCTGACCGGCGACCGCGCGGGAGAAAGAAAAGCGTATGTGTGTGCGTGCGTGCGTGTGCGTGTGCGTGTGCGGGCGCGGAAAGAAAAAAGAAAAAACTTGGCAGTGGCACTGCTAGGCTGGAGCGGACAACATCTTTGGGTTGTCGACGTTGTCTGCGATCAGAGCCCCTAATTGGAGGATCTAGCCGAGCAGCCGAGACCCGAGATTGGATTTTACAATGGCTCGACTGTCTAAACCTTGCTCCGAGCACATCTATTCTCGCTCTCACTTCTCCGTTATATGGGCCCTCCTCCATCATCCTCCCATCTCTCCTCTTCTCCCCCGCCACCTCCATGTCCCCGCTCTCTACCCGCTAATCACTACCGAGCTTCCCTCCTCCCGTCTCTCCCTCCCGGACGCGTCAATGTGCGCCGTTTCATTTCATGCCCTCTGCACTCGTCCTGACACCATCTCCGTCCAGCCGACGTATATATATACCCCAATACCTGCTCATAACCACCCGTCATGACCTTTGTCTCGAGCCGTGCTGCCAACATGTCCTCGGGGCTCTTGCTCGTGCGTACCCGCGACGGTCTCCCCGCGCCGCCATTGACACCCCTGGCTTCTGCAGGAACCGCTCTCGTCCACCGACAACACCACAGCGAACGCGGGGCAACGCTTCAGGCCCTACACCAGTTCCACCCACCATGTCACCAAAGGGCGCTACATCACGAGCAACGACCCAAGGGGCTACATGTCAGTCCTTGTTCGCGGTGCCCGCCCCCGACCTAGCCTAACAATCCCATGCAGACCCGTCTACGAGTACCCGCTGAACGGACAGTGGATCATGCTCGACATGGACGACGGCTACGTCCTCTGGACAGGCATCTGGAAAGGTAGGTACCTTCCATCCACAGCTCCCCCATCCGCCCTGCTCACCTTTCGTTCTTCTGCCCACAGCACTCGGCAACTCCAAAGGTACCAGCCTCGCTCTCCTGCTTGCCGTCATGTCTCACACGTCCCCTTCGCCGCAGCGGACATTGTCAAGATGATCGAGTCGCAGCCCGACTTGGCGTCCAAGCTGCGCCGCGTGCGTGGCGGCTACCTCAAAATTCAGGGCACCTGGATGCCCTACGAGATTGCCCTGCGCCTCGCCCGCAGGTAGGCACCGCATCCTGTCCATCATTTTGACCGTCGCTAACATACACTCCCAAGAGTCGCTTGGCCTATCCGCCACGAGCTCATACCGCTATTCGGGTAAGCCCCCATCTTGTTTCGACGGGTTTGCTGCGGTGCGCTGACAGGACGCGCTTTTTTTTCTTTCCCCTTCTAGCCCGACCTTCCCGACCACATGCCTCTCGCCTGATCAGCCAGGGTATGGCCAGGTCGTCAAGCCTGGCACCGGGCGGCGGAGGGCACGACGGTCGTACGCTCCCTCGAACCCCCAGGAGGCCGTACACGACTGGGCTGTCACCTCGCAGCCGCCGCACAGCGACGTTCCCCCGTGCGCCATCGACCCGCCGTTCACCTACCAGCCCCGCCGGCGGGCAGGGTCAGGTCCGGTGTCGGGCACCGAGGCCCTTGGGTCGCCCGTGCAGCTGCACATGCCGTACAGCCTCCCGCCTGCGGCTCCTTCGCCGCCCAGTCCGGGCGCCAGCAGCTCACGATTGTCGTCGACACACGGGCAGAGGTACTCGCCGTACCCTAGTGCATCTAGCAACCAGCCGCGGGCTCTCGCCTCGGCTGCAGACAGTTTCCACTCACTCCACAGTGCAGCGGGGTCTTCCCCAGTCTTCCCGCACGACATAAAGCTTCCCCCGCTGCACAGTCCCGACGACAGGCAGTCGGGCGGCCGACGCCGCAGCGTCGTAGCGCTCCCACCTATCGCTGCCATGGTCGACCGCAACCGCTGCGACGACTCAGCAGCCGTCCTACGGCGGCTGCAGACTCCAGACCACGAGGAGGAGGAGGAGGAGGAGGACGGCGACTGCCACGCGATGGCGCGCAGCAGCGGCGACCTGGACACGCAGCGGCCGCGTGACGCACCAACAGAGTCGAGCTCCCACCGCCACCGGTACACCGCCCTCTCGCTCTCGCCCCAAGGCCACGGCACGGCGCCGTCTGAACTGTATTGCGACACGCGCAGACGTCTTGCGCCCACGAGGCTGTCTTTCTCCGCCGCCACCTCGCACTCGCACTCGCACTCGAGCCCAGGCGGCGCCACGGCCTACTGCGCCAGCAGCAGCAGCAGCAACGGCGGCGGCGGCGGCGGCAGTCCCTGCGCGAGCGAGCTCGACAGCCCGGTCTCCCCGAGCCTCGTCGTCACGCCCGTCTCGGGCCGCTCGTCGTTCGACGACGGCCGCAGCGGGTGCGGCCAGAGCCCCCTTAACGCAGCAGCAGCAGCAGCTGCGGCGCCCGCGGCTGCTCGCGTGGGGGGCCACCAGGACCCCAGACCACTGCGCGGCGCGCTCTTGGCGGCCGTGGTAAAGCATGGGTATTGGTGGGGGCACCTTCTCCGAAGGCCATTTTTTTTTTGTCTCCCCACTGCCCACACACCGCCTGGCGCGGCTGCTGTCGCGGCGCACGCGCTCCACTCGCCCACGGGCACGAGGCTGCGAGGGGAGGGAGGACCGTCTTCGCCGCAGAGGAGCGAAAGAGAGAGAAAGAAAGAATCCGATGCGACGTGCTCCTCGCGCTCTCGTTTCATGTCCGTCCGCCCCACCCCCCTCCAGGGCATCTTCCGCTGCCAATTTGCACTCAACTGCTCGCTGGGGCAGCGCGCTCTCTCTCTCTCTGTGCTCGATCCCGTCTTCTTCGTCTTCGCCTTCTTCTCTCTCTCGCTTTTGCACACGCCGCAAGTCCTGTCGGCATGTAGCACACAGTTTTTT